GAAAGCAACCGAAACCCCCCCCCCCCCCAAAAAAAAAAACGAAAGGAAAAAAACAGAAATCTAACCACCCCCCCCAGCTTCCTCATTAATAATAACCCGTGGCAACATACTGCCTGCATCTAATTTGACACCATGAATGCCCGGAAAGGGAAATAGAGATTGGTGAAGGAAGAATAACTGCAAAAGAAGGGAAAAGATGGAAAGTAGTAAGCCCTGGCAATGGATAAGCCAGCAATACCCTTAGTGATTTTTTGGAGACGAATTCCCGAGCCGAGAGCCACGCAGGGACGGGGAGCCACCTAATAAACCTAGGGCTTTAGAGAGGCCTTCTCGGCAGCCATGGCTCCATTACTGCCAACCACCCTGTTTAATTCGTTCTGAATAAGATCCTCCTCGCCATTCCCCGATTTCCCCTCATCCGGGTCTTCGTCGTCAGAGGAGGCTTCTGATGCTGCCATTGATCCACGGGGAGTTGCTCTTGATCGCATCTGAAGGTTCAGAAATCCCATGTCAGCGGGGTACGGATCGAAAATTCCAATATTTCACCCACCCAAGATCTAACACCCCCGATAAGACCCAACGAATATCCATTGGCAAACTCGGTATGAGGTGACTGGGGCCGAGAAGGAGGCTCAAGATGCATCAACGTCGGGTTATTCCTCTCGTGCTGGGGCGAAAGGGTGTCTTTCGAACCACTATTAGAAGCCCCAAACTGGTAGGGTGAGGATGGCCTGGGTGAGGGAGCCCAGTAGTTACGAAATTCGTCTCTCAATTCCCGGCCAGTGGTTGACCAGTTGTTCTTGATAGTTTCCCGAAGTTCTGTGACATGTCGTTTCAAATCGAGTTCATTCTTCTTCAGCCAAGAAACATTAAGTTCCTGGCGGGTCGTACCGCGGCGAAGCTGTCGCATAATATATTTCTCGTAGTCCCGCACGATCCTAGATCTCAAAAGATAAGGGTAACCACCGCTCGTAATTAGCCTACTGGTAGTGTCCTCGCATAGCACTTCCACGATACAGCACCCACATCGCAGCCAAAGAAGAATGCTTCATACTTAGTAATGATGTACGTCGTGGAGATCCCCTCAGTTCTCTGGGTGACGAGAAACTTTCCAGCCTCCTTACAAGGACGATATATATCATCGGAATCAGCGCTCGCATAAGGCTCATCATCGTGGGCAACATAATCGATCGAGTGCTCGGCAAGGAATTCTGGGGTAACAATCCAAGGGGCATTCTCAATAACCTCATCCACCCATTTGCAGTGTCGTAACGTCTCCGCCCGTTCCTGGTCCGTGAGAACAGTAAGACCCTTTCGCTTGTGTGTCTCGGTATCATTCGGAATACCGACAAGAAGGTAGGTGTCTGGGAAAGCTTTCTTCGCTTGCTCCAGCTGCCGCATGTGCCTATCAGCGGCATACAATGTCAGCCTCGGTTCTCGACCACGACAGGGTTGGATAGAAGAAGCATTGCGGTACCCACCCGAGATGGAACAAATCAAAGACACCGTCGGCATAGACCCTGACCGGCCGATCGGTCGGTGGTGGGTTCATTGAGTATCCAGCGGGAGCCAGCGATCCGGCCTGTTGTGGAGGAACCATGGGCGGAGGAGCGGTGCCACCTCCGGCGGCACCATTTTCGCTCGCATTGCTTCCGACACCCGGGTTTGAGTTGGTCCTCATGGAAGCGCTGAGGGACTTCTTCCTACTAGCAGCCTCCCGAACACGCTCTTCGATGGTGCTGCTGCCTTCTGTGGTTGATGACTTTTCTCCTTCATCATTGATGCTTGTGCGCCTCTTGACTCGTTTAGCTGGGTAGGCTTCCAAAGAAAGCTTCGATGATGATACCGCAGCACTCACTCCAGCAGTAGGAGCCGAATCATAGGAAAGCTCCGCATCGGCCTCTTCGCCAGATGTTGGTTGATGGGTTTCCACCGGAATGTCGGGGTCGCTTCTCGAACCCATCCTTTTGCGTTTGTTGATGTTTGTAGAGCTTGATGACGACATCTTATCTACCCGGATAGACTCGATAGAGTCGGAATAGGAGGAAGGAAGTCTGTTCTATCGTTGCAAAGAGAGGCAAGATTTAAAAAATAATAATAAGGGACGAACCGAGAGGGTTGAGGATTCTCGTGTACTCGAGTACTGGTACAAGTACCCGGGAGTAAAGGGGGTAGGGATCACGTCAACGCCAAAACACTAAATCTGGCCTCCGGACCGTAGGGTAGCTTAGTGCTCGGAAATGATGGGTTCGAATCGAGTGGATGAATACGACAAATGGGTAAATTAGGGAGAAGAGTGAGAAATAGGATGAGCCCTGGAAGCTCAGCACGGCCGAGTGGACCGAATTGTATCCCTATTGTACGAGTATGGCTGGGGTTGGAAAGGGGAGAGAGATTCGGTGGATGTTGTAAAAGTGGTGAGAACCTGATTTTTTTAATCGATATCAACACCGCCCACCGCTCGACCCTCTTCATTCTCATATGTGCTGCGCTCCACGGTAAATATTATCTTTGCGCGAACAACGATCATGATGCCCACAGCCCATACCGTGACCAAGTAGAGAAGGTCCCCCCCCTAGGTACTGACGGCACCAGTATGATACATTCCTTCAGTTCGTTCGTACTGCTGTATAGCGTAGGGTCCGGTATGGCATCGAGAACAGCACTGTATCATTGTTCGCTGGCTTCGTGGAAGTTTCTTGCGGCACACACACAAAAAAGCGTGTCCCTCTCACTCGAGCAGCCTGTGGGAAGCCCTCTCTGAGGCGCGTTGGCCGTTTCGATTCCTGTCTCGCTGAACGTTCGGTGTTTTGCACAACTGTACCGTGCGGTACCAATTTCCGGACAAATCTTCCTTACCGTATTCGAGTGGGATTGACCTGAGCTGAATTGTCTGTCACCTTTCAGCCTCTTTTCCACGAGTATGATACCGCAATTAATTATTGTATCATACGAGTAGAAATGTCCGTCGGGAGTGCAGAAGAGCCACATGTTCCAAGTCTCGTTCCCTCTAACAGAGACTACAGTAGCTTACGTCAGCAGGATTTAAGCTCTCTCTCCCTCTCACTCCCTCCCTCTCGCACAAGGAACTTTCGCTAGACACCATTCACTATATTCTTCGGAGCTTTAGAACTCCCAACTCTGGTTACCCCCTAGCAGCGAGACCTCAGTCCACTTGACTCCTTAATACCCGCCTTACCGGGCTATCCTTATGAACTCCGGTACGATACAGCGTCGTCTCGATGTCCTGCACTCTGATAGCATCAAGCTTCCCTCCCCCCCCTCCATGTATATCATACTGCAGATGGCCTGTAGACTGTCTGGTATCTCACAGCGTTGCTGCCGGGCCTACAGTGACTCTCTCCGTCCTCTCAAACAACTGTTTAGAAACCGCCGCCAAGAGGTTGACATATCATCGACCCGACTTTAACATTGGCCACAGTACTGTGCAGTTCTCCCCAAGCAAATCCCAGAGACTTCTTTGAGGGTGACGTCTCCCCCCGAGCGCACTGTGAGTGCGGTCCAGCACGAATATGGTATTCAGCAGGTAGCCGACCCCCGATACTCTCCCGAGTCTCCCCAAACGCAAGCACCGACACCGATATCTTGGTATGATGATAGATTCCCAAAGATACCATACAGGGAGCCCAAATGGTAGCTCATGATAGACCCCCAACGCGGACTATTCCGGGCTGCAAGCGATACCGGTATTAGCCGGTGACCAGCCAACAAATGCATGGGGTTAGGGTTGGGATTCAGGAACACGCTTAAATCCAGCCCCGACCTCTCCGTTCCCCACCATTCATTCATTCAGCACACCCCCACCCCACTTCCCGACATCATGGCAGAAGCAAAAATATCTATATTGCCGCTTTTGAGAGCGCTGTCAGAGTCTCCAGACGCTATAGCTCCAGAAGATATCACAAAGGCTATCACACATAGCTTCAATGATCACCTCTCGCCAGTTCAAACGGGGACGCTATTGACGACATTGCATTTTACAAAGTTGGATCAGAAGCCAGAGATTATTGCTGCTGCTGCGAGGGCCATGAGGGCTGCTGGGTTAACGGTCGACGGGCTGCAGGCAGACACCTGGGGAGATGAGACTTCTGGCGGGAAATACGGGGGTGGTTTGGTGAGCCCTGCTTCTGAATTAGGGGCCAGGAGTGTGGCTGATAATGGACAGGTCGATATAGTTGGCACAGGGGGCGATGGTCATGATACCTTCAACGTATCCACAACTTCCGCGATATTGGCCTCTGGATGCGGATTAAGAATATGTACATGCTGCCTCCATCTTGTAACGCATTATCGCGAAGTAACGATCCCAACGTTTCACAGGCAAGCACGGGAACAAAGCCTCCACGTCCGCATCGGGTAGTGCAGATATTCTCACATCTTTAGGTGCAAATCTTATGGCCATAACGCCACCCATTGTCACATCCATCTTCAATGAACCTTCAAAGGGAAACTTCTGCTTTCTCTACGCCCCGGTTTTCCATCCGGCTGTGCGCCATGTGGCTCCTATTCGCCGCGAGTTGGGACACCGGACCATCTTTAATCTTCTTGGACCTCTGGCTAATCCAATCGACTACTCGGTCTCGGGAGGCCTGGAAGCGAGAATCATTGGCGTCGGTAGGCGGGAACTTGGCCAAGTCTTTGCCGAAACATTGAAGATCCTAGGCGCTAGTAAGGGAATGGTAGTATGCGGGGAAGAGGGTCTCGATGAAGTCTCGTGCGAATGCAGGACCGAGTGCTGGAGGCTGCTGGAGGACCCCGAGACGAGGGAAGTCACGGTGGACCACTTTTTTGTTCACCCCACAGAGACCTTTGGGATTCCTACGCACTCCCTTTCTAGGGTTGCCGGAGGCAAAGGTCCTGATGAGAATGCCGCCATCTTGGAGAGACTGCTCAACGGAAAAGAGCGAGACGACGAGAAGGCTGTGAAGGACTTTGTGCTGGCGAACACAGCAGCCCTCATTGCTATCTCTGGGCTCCTAGGCCCGGTCGAGCGAGTGTCCGAGGGGGCAGTGGCAAGGGGTGCGGTCTGGAGGAGCGCAGTGGAGAAGGCAAATGAAGGAATCACAAGTGGGAGAGCCTGGGAGGAGTGGTCAAAATTTGTGGAGAAAAGCCGACAGGCGGAGGGTGGTTAGGCATGGTCTTCCACCCGGCTTGGCTCTCTCTTGTTGCGACCTGCTGCTCTTCTCCTCCGTTCCTGTGGACGACCGGGCGAATCGGTTCTCCGACTTATACAAGCATAAAACAGTCTCAAAAACTCTATCTCTTTCCCTCTCCCTCTCCCTCCATTTTTCCCATGCCTGATAGCTCTTTGAAGATGACCGATTAAGCCGTCTAGTCCATCCCTACACCATCTCAATCACCAAAAATCACTCGAGAACACTAATCTCCGGAAACCGCATAACAGCCCACCGATAGCAAACCATAACGCATGAATAAGCCCCCCACTATATGGTCATACCCCGCCAATCTTTGCGGTACCCCTCCTCTTTACCCTCAACCCAAACACGCACCCCGCCACCTAGCCCTTTTCTGGCCGATAGCCCATCCACCTACCCACTTATGATACCTATGATCCCCGAAAATGCACACCATCACAAACCCAGCCGGGGGGGGGAAGAGGGGGGGGAGAAGACGCCGAGGACCGTGGTACGGCGCTAGTAACTACCGTATATGATACAAACTCGACAAAGCTGAAATGTAGGGCAAATGGTATCACGTGGCGGCCGGGTTTTTCTCACGATACCGGACTACAGGTATCCATGATATATAAATTAGTTGTAAGTAGCGCAAGTGCTGGTAAAGCGACACGGTGCTGCGGATAGCCGTGGGGGGGCACGTGATGTGATGGGGTAGCGGGGGGGGCACTCTTCCGGCTGGTGGGGGGCAGAGTTTGGGGATTGAGTTTGCGAGGGTACTCGTAGACTATGTGCTCGGTGGGTTTGATGTTGACTTTCGTCGTGATAGCTAGCGAGTGGGCGGGTGGATGGATATGGTAGCTAGGGTTAGAGGAGGAGTGTACGCTATAAATCAATGAAGGATTCCCGAATCGATAGAGTATCATAGTATCCTATTTCTACACATCGTGCCGGGTACATGGGTAGATATCCAATCTATACGCAGTTCTCAAGAACTTGGATTTTCAATATATAGAATATATAAAGAGGAATAGAAGGAAGGGAAGAGGCTCCCAAGGTCATTCCCTATGCCCTCTAGCAAATTCACTCCACCACGATATCTCAATCCCGCTACTCTGCGATTTAATGAACCGATTGGTACGGGCGCAACAGGCTACCTCACCGGCACAGCACTCGAACTCCTAACAACCACCCATGCAGAGTACGAGATCACAGTCCTAGCCCGCGACTAAGAAAAGGCCGCAGCGGTCGCCAAAAAGCACCCACACTTCTGCACCCTCATCGGCGATCTCGACGGCACCGCGCTCAAGGAATCCGCCCGCGCAACCCCGGACATCGTCAAACGCTTTTCAAATGCCCACCTCCCGGCCGTAGAGGCTATAACCAGTCTTCCGGGGCCCCCGCGGGAACCGCATACGTCATCCACATTTCCGGCACCGGGATACCCTTAGACTTCGCTTACCCTTCAACGCTGGGAAAACTGCAGGGGAGGCAGGAGGGCGTACGATGCCATTGGAGATGTGACGGAGATCACGAGCTTCCCGGGCGAGGGCACATACACCGCGACGTGGACAGGGTCGTGGTCAAGGGGAATGGGGAGAATGTAAAGATGGCGACTGCGTGTCCGCCGGTGATTTATGGGCATGGGGGGAGGGGGGCGGAGCGGGGAACACTGGGAGGATTCAGGTACTGTCTTTGGTGAACGAGACACTGGGGGGGAAGTCCTAGAGGGGGGCGAACGCTCGGTGGTGCGCGCACGTTGATAATCTTACGAGATTGTACCTAGTGCCTGTGGAGGCCGTATGGTGTGGCGGTGGGAGGGTGGTTTGTGGTGTTGAAGGATATTATTTTGTCGAGAGCGGCGAAATGTTTAACTTGGGGGGGTTTTTTTTTCCCTCCCCCAATTCCCTGCGCCATTAAGCCTCCCTTCTTTCACTCCTGCCTTCCCTCTTCCCCGAAAATTCACTCTGAGGAAGGAGAAAAAAAAGACTCAGGAGACCAACGTGATCAACAAACCCCACTCGATCCGGGGCGAACTCTCCAAATCCCTCGCGGCGGGGGCCAAGATCAAAGTCCTCCTCGAAACAGAAAGCGTAGTATCGATCCCAACCGCGGACCCCGCGTCCGTATGCCCATACGGACCGCTCCTCCGGGGCCCAAGCTGCGCAGCAAAGCACCCAGAGCGAGAGAGCGCCCCGGGTGGGAGGCCGTTAAGAGCTCCGTGGAGGAGAGCCCGGATGCGGATATCAAGCGAGAGGCAGAAGCCTTGGGGCTCCTCTAGCTTTTTGCAAAAGAAAAAAGAAAAAGAAAAGTTAAAGTAAAATACTGGTACGGTTGAGGTAACGTAAGATATTGTGGGGGGGAAGACTGGGGCAGAATTTTATTTTTCGGTCGGCCGCCGCGGCTGATCAACAGTCCTAGTTGAATTCAATTCCAGAATGACGAGGTTTTGCATGGGGGCCTTGCCTCTCTCTCTCTCTCTCTCTCTCTCTCTCTCTCTCTCTCTCTTTTTCCTTTTGTTTTTTCACTCACTGCTCAATCCTCTGCTCCTGCTTCTGATGCGTACTTTGCGCAGCACAGTACTGTGGGTATGCGGTGCTATTATAGAAACAGCAGGAAGGGGGATATTCATGACCTTTTATTCACCAAAGTCGTCAATTAGGTAATGTTCGGCTAGGTTAACGTTTTCCTTCAACACAGATTACCATACCGGTACCAGTAGATGTAGATGTAGATTAAATCGAGTCGAATTCTAGGAATCCCCGTTTGAACTGCGGTGATCCGGGGCAAACGTGTCCTGTGCGTGCTTGTTTGAGGAGCTCCTTTTTTTCTTTTTCTTTTTCTCCCTCTTTTTTCTTTTTTTTTCTTTTTCTTTTCTTTCCTCGTTCGTGCTCGGGAGGGTGGTGGGGAGGGGGGAGGGCGGAGAAGAAGATGAGGTGGGAGATGAGGGAAAGGGGAAGAATGAGAATGAGTGCTTGCCGTACGGCGAAATATCATACACAGTATGACACCAGTCGCTCACTGCCTTACGATAGGAGTCTTGATAATATTTGGAAAGATTTGTTAGACTGCCTGATCGCCGCGGCCCGTGATACAGCGTTGTACGAGAGTACTCGAGTATGGATGCCACAATAAAATAAAATAGGACCAGATTTAAGGTTTTCCCTATGTATGATACTACTCGAGTAAACACTTTTCCCTCCCCTCCTCCCTCACTATCGGACTGTACCCCCACCCACCCCTCTAATCACACAAAATCACTCGTATACCTAACCCTAACCGCTGCAGGAGAAGGGATCACGACAAAAAAAGAAAAGAAGAGAATAGGGAAGGAAAGAAGGAAAGAAAGAAAGAAAGAAAGAGCCTTCCACGCGAGAACCATGTTACCGTACCGTATTTCCCTCTCCATCCATCCATCTATCCATAAAAGCCGCCACCACGCTGTTATTATTAGTAGAGTAAAACTCCCAAAAGTGATACGATACTCTTGATGATCCAAGAAATGGGCATTTAAAACCCTCACAGGGGCCCTTATCCTCCCAACCTGGCTCAGGCCAACCAGTCCCGTGTAGAATTGGGGTCTGCGGGAGGCTGAAGCGACCCACCCTGTCCTGCCGTGCAAGCTCTCGTACCCCGGACATCAATACCCGTAACGTATGACAACCCCACGATAACGCCAAGCCCTGCCTGTACGAGTAAGCCAGCCGGCTCGATTGGCAATCTGAAAGAGACAGCCCAGGCCGAAAAGGACGGAAAAGAGGGACAGACGGGTAGATGGACGAGTGGGCAGATTGGGGTGCACGAGGAGGTCTTCGCTTGCAGCGACGGCGTCAACAAAATATCGCAGGAGTGGACAGAATGGATAGTTATGATATCATCCCCTTGCGCAAGAGCGCCTTGAGGGTGAAGGTCGTCGTATTGTGGTTTTTATGTCCGCCAGAATTGTAGGGGTATCATGCGCACGTACGAGTACAATGCGGTGCCGAATGCGTCGGTACAGGGCGTCGGAGTTGCTGCTGCTGTTGCGCTCCTGCCATCCCTCGCGATGGGGGAGGGACGGGGCGTGGGGGAAGGGAAATTCACGCTCAAGTGAACTTTGTGTGTGGCCAATTACCTCCTGCTCTCTTCATACCTGTTGGTACTTGTGGAGGACAGGATTTTGGCTCCGCATTGGCCTCGTATGTAGGGTACTGTAGTGTACTCGAGTGCATTGCTCGCGGTGTATGATAGTGTTATGATAGAGCGCTGTATGGTGCAGCCCCGGAATCCCACTCGCTTGCTTGCTGACTTAGCCACGCTGTATGTCACAAGCGCCTCACGTGGGTATTGGGCATTTCGCGTTCCCTCACTGACACTTCCAAATCGGACTCCCGAAGAAGGAAAGGAGGAAGAAAAAAAAAAAGAAAAAAAAAGACGCTTGCTCGCTGCGCGAGGTAGTGAATGGGAGAGGCATATTTCATCAGGTATCATACGGAGTTTCAGATATAGCAATACCGTGGGTTATGCTCTTCTTGCCCCACGGAGGCGGGGGAAGTTATCACCAGACCCGAGATATCACTCGGAGGACGTTGCAGTAGAAAGAAAGAAGAAAAGAAAAAGAAAAGAAAAAGAAAAAAAGACTAGCAAACTCTGGACTAAAATAAAAGAATGGGAAATGGTGGCACAATAAGAAAAGGAAGGGCTACTTCTTTCTTTTCTTATGGCTGTAACTTTCTCCAAATAAAATAAAAACAAATAAATAAATAGATGATATTGTTTGTTGTTAAAATTAACTGCATACTAAAGGTACATATCAATGTTAATACCTTTACCTTATTACATATTTGCAACTCTGATTAAAGAAATTACCCTGACTCAATTAAAATTAAACTATTTGGCTGCATGATTTTTCTTTAAGAAACTATAATATTATCCTATATTATTTATAGATATATGATACTAAAAAGCCTATTTCCTCAGAGTATCTACCAGATTTTACTAAAGGATAAATTCTTGGACTATGATACACAATCCTCAAATAAATTGTTGCTAAATTTCTTACCATTTAAATACACTTCTTACAGCTGTTAGAAATACAGTTTAAAGAGAGACAATAAAAGGATAAGGGGAGAGGAGGTAGTAGAGAATATTTTAAGACTATCAAGTTAAGTGGACCTGACTTTGAAGGATTTCATGGTAGTAGAAGCATAAAAAATATTGATACTACCTATTTTGAATTTAAATAAAAAGGTATTCTCTATGTTTCTATCTTGCCAGCAAGGATAAAACTTGTAGGAAAGTATCTATAGAAGTAGGTAGCAAAAGGATGAATCTACTTGAATGCTAATCTAGCTCAAAAATAGGTTTCAGCTTACAGAAAGTAAATACTAGAAAGATGTTAATAGGAACACTGACAATCTGAATTTGTATAGTAGTACTAAAAAAAGGAGAAGGAAAGAGGGAAAAATATCACTTTAGATATTGAGAAGAGAAGTAGAATAAGGGTTGTATTGAGTCTACTGTTAGAAAGGAGAAAAGAAGAATTGACTAGATGATAATTCAATAGGCAAGAGAAATACTCTTACAGAAATTCTTGCTTATTTACCAGATATTAATCTAGTTGAACATGTTTGATTTTTAGTAAAAGGCATGCTTCAGGAGCATTATTCTGAGCTATATCTCCTGAAGGGTCCTCCTGGCAATAGGTCAAGAATAATAATAATAATAGAGGGGACTATTACTAATGTGTAGGAACTTCTTGATTCTCTGACAGGTTCAATGGTAGATAGAATAGAAGCAACTACCAAGACTGATAGATGGATGGTATACCAAATACTAATTTCTACTGTATATTTTCGTTTATTTATCAATTTTTTCATTGTTATCATGATAGTGGGGTTCGCAGGGGGCCGCCATTGCCATGATCAAAGTTTCCCCGGCCGGTTGCCAGTGCTGCGCTGTTGATTTTGACAACGGACAATACGGTATTCAGGTCAGAGCGCCCACTGACTTGAGCACAGGCATTCTACTTTGCTACTGTTGCTTCGGGCCAGGGCTGCCTTGATTGGACATGTAGGAACAAACCCGCCCTGCTTCTGCTTCTGCGCTTTTGCTTTTAGTTTTGGTAGTCATTCATTTGTAAGACACCAACAACTGATTTCGATAATGGGGGGGGGGGTCCTCGCCGTGCGGTAGTGTTCGAGGGGGGCTTGTCAACAGAGTCGCCCCGTTGTCCACTGTTGACCTCCTTTGCTTAAAATTGTGGTATGTACTGTTCCCCGCTTTTCTTTAAGGGACGGGACTCCAGCTTCATTATTCTAACAACTCCAGACCATCTCCAAGGCACCGCCTCAAGGTCCGCAGAGGAATGGGTGGAGAATTGGGAGAAGAAAATAAAAACTGGGAATGGGATTCAATTGAATATCGGCCTATCGTGAGATCCCTTGGTGTTATAGGTTACGGTTAACAGATTTCGAGCGTACTATGATACTTGTACATGCCGGCCAAATTTCCATTACCGTTTTGAATGGTCATTCGCCATAGGAGCCCCACCGGCTAGACATTTCAATCTCGCCCTTTTTCTTTTTTTTCTTTCCCTCCCTTTCTCTCGCGCCTCAGATGGAATCAATGACATGATGGCCGGTGTGAGCTGGGCTTGATTGAAGGGTCGAGAGAGGGGCGTCCCCGCTGTGACGTTAACAACCAGCCGCTTTGCGCGGGGGTCTTGGTTTTCTTTTTTCTTCTTCCCCGATAACTCCTCCTCCGAGTAATATAAAAGCCCACTCTACCAAAAGTGGTTCTCCCGTGGGGAACGGCGCACGAGAGCTCGAGAGAGAACAAGAGATAAAGTTACGTCGCCCAGGAACGAAAACCAAAGGAAACAAAATAAGGGGTTTGTAGGAACAACCTTGTTCGCGTGCCCAGCAGAGTACTCTCCCTTTTTTATATTTCACTTTCTCTGCGTTGAGCAAATGCGAATTTTCGGAATCATTGTTTCTATACGGTAGCAGCACCAAGAGTTCGAGCTTGATCCGATGTCACCCCCCACAAGTGCCGAACAGAGAGCGAAAATCGAAACTTTGCTGGCTGACGGAAAAATCCCACGCAAGGATATTGGAAAGCATGTTGATCCTCCCGTGTGCTATGGAACAGTAGTGCGCATTCAGAGAAATCTAAAAAAGTATGGCACAACGAATAAACCGCGTCAAGGTGTTGTTGGAAGGCCTGCAAAGATAACTGAGCCCATGGCACAGGTGTGTAAGAATTCACCTTTTATTTCTCTTCCCCCCCTGGGGGGGGTTTTTCAATTCCCTCTATTCACGTGGTGCATTTTTCAAACTATCTTTAGGCAGTGCTGGAGGCCTTGACCGAGAAGCCGGAAATGTATCTAGAGGAGCTCGCCCGGGTGCTACATGATGAGTTTGACGAATGGGTGAGCGTCGCGACATTGAGCAGATATCTGAAAAAGGAGGGTTGGGTAAAGGAGAAGGTAAGTAAGCTGTGGCAAAGAGGGCTCAAAATTGTCATAATCAGAACTGATGGACGGTAAACCTAGGACGGCGAGAATTGCACTCCCCCGGCCCATCCGGCATCTGTACGAGCGGGAGCAGGAGCAGCAAAAAATAAGACGACTGAATCGGAGTCGGAGTCCTCAGTTACCACAGATGAGGGCCAGGACGAAATGGATCAGGCGGTGGTAGCCATAATTCCTGCTCCTCCACTTCCCATGACCCCGGAGCTCCAGCAAAGGCTGCAGAAACTCAACAACTCGGCCATGAGGTTCTTCAGCGCAACCTTGAGTAAAGATCCCACAGCAGACCTATCACCATTATTTGAAAAGTACAGAACCCTCTACCCTGCACGTCGGGAGAGGGCACATGAAAAGTCTGCAGCTACGGGTACGTAGTTAATCACCGCAACCTAGTGATCAGCTCTAATAATATCAACTAGTCGATGTGAGTCCAGTGACAACCGCAGTTCAAAGAGTTTCCCATGGTACGTCCGACAACGTCGTTCAATGGAGTAGACGGCCAGCACCACAACCGCAGAGAACGGTATCGCCCGCCGTCCAAACACCGGTCTCGCCATTCCCTCCAGCCCAGACCCCAACCGATGCCAAGCTTCAGGAATTGTCCCCAACGCCTTCTGACCAGTCCCGAAAATCATGAGTCTTCCGAGACTCGGTGGATTAGATTTGATGTGGTTCGGTAATTGCAACATAGCAGCGAAGGCTTACCCTTGGGTTTTTGTTACTGTGTACGTCACTCGAGGGCTTAGTGATTAGTTATATCAATCTTGTGTTTTGTATGTCGAAGGATGATTCTTTCTTTCTTTCTTTCTTCTCGCGCCCTTTTTCTTTCCCCTCCCCTACTTATCCAGTGTTTCTCGGTGGTTTTGCGTTTCTCTTAGGATAGTTAGTGACAATCAAAAGCGTTCGACACCCAGTGCGCGGCAAGGTGGCTGTGCGCCCGGGCTTGCTCGGAGTTGTGATACCTATGATGCCTTTTTCAATGATGCCCCCACAAGCGGAAAGCTAGAATACTGTGGTAAGCACTGCAGGTTTAAAATGAAATTCATGAAGCGCCACCTAATTGGATGATATCTAGATATCAAGGTTTCAGATCGTGTCGCTCCGATGGGCGGTACCCACAAACCGCCCGTCTGGTAGTCAGCCACCATAGCCCTAGTGAATATGTGGGCACCGCTGTAGAAACTTGGGAGTGGACATCATATCCAGCGCTTGAACGTTAAAAGTTTGGTGGTCCAACATTTCGGATTCGCGAGTCGAGTGATATGTGATGCCGCAAAAGAGTTCCGTGTGGAGCGAGTGGGAGAGCAGAGAATGTATGATATTTTATTGGTTTATATGGGAATCATAGGCTTTTATAACCCTAGGCAACCGGTCCTAATTTCGGGGGCTCGCAAGGGAGGGAAGGCTTGCCCTAAGGTTAGGGGTGACGAGTTCTGCAATGTATCATATCATCACGGCGACGACATAAGATGCAACAAATTCCACAATCCCTATGTAAATTTACAAGTGCCCCACAATTCCATTCCCCGGGGTCCCGCTCCGGCACTCCGATGGCTTCTAGCAAACTGGCCCCCCCCAAGTTGAATGCATTGAAGTTTAATAAATGCTTTTAGGCGGCCCACTAGACTAGCCCACTTCTACCTCACCGCAAATATTATATTTAACATTTTAATAGATAGAGAAGATGCGGGGACGCGGGGCGATTGTAGGAAAGAGAAGGAAAGAAAGAGGGAAGACAGTGAATGATGGGCGAGGGTCCCCAGGGGTATCGAGCGACTAATGAAAGAGGCAAATGGAAGGAAGGAAAGGCATTAAAGAAAAAGAAAAAGATAGATGATTCTGAAAGTTGACTGCTACCGCCAACTTATGACAGGCATAGGTCTGGTGTCCAAAGCCAGACCCACCTGCAACAACGGAAGGCACACCACATTCGCCAATCGAGCCTATACTACACGTAAACCACATAACCAAGGGAACACGTATATCAAAGGAGTGGTTGGGAAGGGGTAAAGGGAAATCGTTGCAGCATAATATCATAGATGTCTACGCATGCTTAGTGTCAATTTTTTACTGCTGGGAAAGAGAAAAAGAAAATAAGTGGGAGAGAGCAAAGTCTGTCAAAGAACGCCTTATGCAGAACCAAAACCATGCCAAAAAGCCTAAAGAAAAAAAAGAAGAGAGAGAGAGAGCTAGTTCCCCACTTCACGATTCCCAACCATAGCAAGGACTACCCCGCTGCCGACGCAAACAGCACCAAAAGATCCCCAAGCAAACAACTGGTGTGTTGGCCCCACTCTGCTCCGACTCTTCAAGAAAATGAATAACCCGACACTTGCAAAGCTCAACGCTGTCAACACCGCACCACAAACCTCAAGGTCCAGAGTAAAGTGCCCTCTGCGCCATTTGTGTTTGTGTCTTGCTAGGGAGGAATTCATGGCTAGAATCAGAGTGACAACGAGCGTCACCACCGCGCTCCCGAGGCAAAGAACATAGGCAGGGCTTAAAGGAGTGCTGTCTGCCGCAGGTCGTGAGAAGGTATTGTAATGGGGCCGGCTAGAGGCCCCTGCACCGAATGACCCTACTTCCACATCAATCTCGCTCGAGGACTCGGATGATGGGACGCTTGGTTTGCGGAGGAGAGGCTTTCTTTCTCCTGGATGTTTGGGCGATGTAGTGAACAGCGCCTGGAGTTTGTGGCCAGTTGAAATAACACTTTTGCGCATAAAGTCCAAGAGCGAAATATCTCCGTCCTCGCACTCGTCGTCTGATGTGTCCCCACGTCTTATGAGTATTGTGTATGGTTCCTCAGAGTCTTCATCCTCATTGAACTCACTCCAGTATCGCTCTCCACCCATATGCTCGATGGACGATAGCCCGCTCTTTGGTCGACCCGACTTCGCTTTGGGTGAGATAGTGGGGGCCGTGTGAGAAAAGGCGGTAGTCGACGAATCGAACCCATCTGTAAAGTCGTGAGCCATAGTAGCGGAGGTTCCGTTAGAGGTGGTCTTGGATGCCGCGCTTGCAAACATCATGTGGGATGAGCTACGCCTACTGTGGCGTGGTGTGTGCACAGGGGTTTTGCGGATATCTCTTTGCAAAGCGGACAACTGGAGCGCAGATATGTTAGTAGAGTGCTGGAGTGTTCGCGGGAATAGCTTGTAATTACCCAAAAGGGGGGCGTCATATTTCTGGGCCGGTATAGCGCGGACACGGCATGAACGTCCAATGAGAAGCCTCTAACGTTTTCAACCTAGGAAAGAGTTAGTCATGTAATTATTGAGGGCAAGCCACCGACTTATGAGTGGAGGACAAGAGCGCAACTAACCATGTGACTGGTTTCAAGCTCATGCAAAAATGTCGGAACTCGTTGTCCTTCCCATTGAACCTCGAGAACAGCGTGGGGAAATTCGCTCCTTCCCTCACTTCCAAGTCCCGGTCCGTCCTCCTCTCGCCCAGTGAGCCAGTTTGTCCCCTGTTGAACCTTGGTCATTTTAATATCCCAATCCAAAAGTGCCCATACTCGGCCTCCCTCCGGCGTCTCCGCGAATCTTATCCGTTTCATGAGCAGTTTAACCAATGGCGTAATATTCTTGTGCTTCGCCAGCCACTCCTCAAGCTTTTCCACGTCGGTCTCCCCCTGCTCATCCGTGGTATGATTGATATCATTTTTAGATGAAATGGATCCTGTCTCGAGCAGTTCTTCGATCTGCTTTCTCTTCATTCTTACTTCCAACTTCTCCTCGCCATGGCCAGCAATACTATTCACGATTAAAGCAGATGTGTTGGAAACTACAACCACAGCATCCGAATCTCTGCAACACCACCTGACTTGCCCCGCGGTCCGTGAACATGCTTTACTAGCTTCCGCAACAGTAGCAGAACTTTGAATGTCAGAGAAGCTCTCCAGGTCATCTAGAAGCACAACCCCAATTTCATCGTCTTTCCAAAGAGTCCCGACCGAGTCTTTCCTTGATGGAGGCGTTGGGGGGCCATTATATATGGGCGATGTTTGCAGGGCAAGATACTTCAACAACAGCACTTGCAACTCGATCAAATGGTCGTAATGTACCCAGAATGTCGCCCTCCCCCCACTACTGTCCCCTAACGCCGATGTCGCTAGGGCAGAGTCCAAGTAAGCACGGCCCTCCGCAGTAGCAATGGCCCTTTGGGATAAGACGGTTTCAATGGAAAACGCACGCTCCTGTGGGTCTTCTTGCTCGGCACCGCGAATCTTTTTCGGCTGGGTCACTATTTGAGGTGATGGCGCAGCAGCAGGTAGATCAAGACCATTGCGGATTGCGTTTAACAGGTTCGAAAGTTCTAGCACATTCTTTTCAAAGTCTACCTTGTGGAAAGCTGTGGGAGATTTCAGGATTGGAAGAAAGCGATTGAGTAAGTGTGATGAACCGGTCCATTTTTTGTATTTCTTCAAGAGCTTGAGGAACCCCGTGCGTTGTACGTTTACAAAGCGCGATAGGCACTGCACCTCATAGCTCACACTAGCCAACACCATTAGTACGAACCCAATCGCTGGAATTGTTCCAGGAAACAGCAGAATGTGATGGATTCACCGTTCAACCTCTTGTTCGATCTTTGTCGAGCGACCTGACCGTCGGGTATGAGGTAGGGTTGCGTCCTCCGCCTCGCGTCTTCGGAGAGCCGCAACTTGTCGCTTGCACCGAACTATAAGCGGGGGGGGGGGGGTCAGCACAAAGTTTCTATTTTGAGCTGAGGCATCGAGCGCGCTTGCCTATACGGCGGTCAACTTCGCCGGACTTGCTCTTCACGAATAGGTCAATCTAAACCACCGTTAGCAATTCGCAACCATTCCCCAAAGCAATGGTCAGCTATAATACCCTTCCAAGTTGATCCATCAGAATATTGAAGAATTCATCTTCAAAATCTGTCTTAGCCTCGGGCGACTTGACGAGCGGCTTTCCAGTGGTATACCGCTTAATCAATTGTTTGATCTCATTGTAGTCAAGATTATCTGATGTGACGTATCCACGATGTCAGTAAAACAAGCATTCCAGCAGCGGAGCCGGCTGCAATTGCGCAAGCATAACGAAAGCAAAAGGCACTTACAAGGCAGCCATTCCTGAACGGAACGCTGAGGAAGTGCCTCACCGAATTTCATTAGATTATGGACAATGGAGCTCCAAACAGTCCTAAACCCACGAAGCCGCAGGAAATTGACCAGATCCAAAAGCAAAGGAAGATGAGGTGAAAGAGTCACAGTCCAGGAAGTCGTAGAAGGGTTCAGGAGGGAGGAGGGGAGGGGAGGGTGAAGGGAATAATATATACCAGGACCCCTCGCCTTATCGCGTACAGGTGAGAGAAGAGGAAGCGAAGGGCAAGAACAGGAAAATACTTGCACGGTACTGGATAGCACGGGAGCAATTGCGAAATTAGGAGCGGCTGGCGGTTGCTGCTGCGCAGGGTCAGTAACAGGGATCTCATAAAATCTCGGGTGCAACAAGGCGGGTCCCGGCAGGCTGCTGCACCTTGCTAGTTTACGCCGGATAGACTCTCAGAAAGGCGATATCCGCAGTGAAGGAGCAGCTAGACACAATGGGGTGGTGCACAGTAGATACAGGATTTTCCCTTTTCTTAAGTACCCTTCGATTTGGCTTTTCCCTTTTTTTCTCTCTCTTTTTTCCCTTTTTCTCCTTCGACCCAAAAGCGAAGGAGAATGCTGACGGTTGTGAATGGTGGTGGTGAGGAGGGGGGTTGGGGCGGGAGCAAATACTGGTAGTCCTACCTGATGGGTGCTTATAATGGTGCCGCCAGTGGAGATGGGAAAAGGGAATGACGGGAGGAGAATGAGAAGGGTCTAAGGTGGGAGGGGAGGAAGAGAAGGAGAATGGGGAAAAGATTGCTATTGCGAGGCAAAAGAGAAATCGGGAGTGAGGAAGAAGAAAAAAAAAAAAAAAAAGAAGGAAAAAAAGAGAGAGAAAAGGGAAAAAGAAAAGCATGGAAAGGAGCAGGAGATCGAGATGCAAACATATTCTAAGCCCAGTTCGAAACCATCGTCAAGCACTCGAGTACTGTAGGAGTGCCATACCGTACTCGTACACTGAAGACGGACGGATTGTGAGCAGTGTTTGTATCGAGCTGCGAGTACGGGAACGCTTACTTCCCCCACTCTTCAGGCCAAGTTCCCGCGGGCTCGAGCCATATAGGTTAAGGCAGTCTGTCAAGCTAATTATGTTATAATGTGATGTCGCTTTTCTTGGGGAACTTTTTTTCTGTTGGCTTTGGCTTCTCCACTCCGACTTCACTCGAGGTTCAACCAAACCAGGAAGCGTATTACCGGTATGATACTCGTACTCGAGTTTTGTCTTGGCACACATAACGAGATGTCCAAGACGGCAGACGGTGATGGGGATGGGGGGAATAAAGCATTACCGATAAACGGTGTGGTCGGGCAAGGAGGCTCGCCTCTTCCCCCCCCTCTCCCCCCACCATCTTCTACGAGTGCTGTACCAACTCACCCGCACAAGTCAGAACTCGAATTCCGGTAAGCGGACCATATGGCTGGGTGGTGCAAAATCTCCTCCTCCGGAAAAAGGGAGAGAAAAACCCGATATCGGAGACAAGCAGAATACTGTACTCGAGTACTGTACTCGTAGGAAGTAAACACCAGACTTTACTTGGAGAGGCAACTCCAACGTCCAAGCGCAGGGTCCGTTTACTCGAGTGTGTGGCGGTGGTAGTAGTACGGTACGGTAGGCTGTAGACTATGCTCATTGGTGTCTGAGTCTCCGTCAAGTCAAGTTCCTCGTACCGTATCATGCTGGTTACTGCAAGTATGATACCGTAGTCGAGTGTATCAAATTCTCCGTACGGTGACCCTATCCTCGCCATCTACTCGTCCCAGGCAAGAGGTAGCCGAAAACAGGGATTAAAGGGATAAACGACGAAAAATCCCTGCCTATTGGAGCACCTATTCGGAAGTAGCCCCTTCGAATCGGGCGCTTCTTGCCTGTAGCGAGTAACAACTTCGCAAGCCTTTACCCTATACACTCGAGTACATCAGGCCGCTCATACCATGCATGAGAATCCCCCCATTCCCTTGAGCACCCAATACCTTAAGTTATGGTGCCGTACTGTGCATGGGATAGAGCAGCTTTCCCTATTTTCCCAAATTACCGCGTGAGCAGGACGCGAATACCGGTACTCGAGCACCTGCGCCCTACATCGCAGTACTATGCGAACAGTCATGCCGCACGATGCATCATGTAAATTGTCTCTTCAGCCACGGAATACGTTCTATGATAGGACTCTACGGCATGGGGTTGTATATCAGCACGTCTGTTGATACTCAATGGGAGGACAGCTCTCGATACCCACCGGGGAAGATATCGGCTTTGGGGATCCCCGAAAACTTATCTTGCTCAGCTGAATGACGTTGGCGGGCGCACCGCATACTCTCCATACTTGAGACTCTGATAACTCCAGCTATCTACCGGCAGTATCCACACAGCAATGGCAGTGATGCTCGTTCGGCATCAAATTTTTAGGAGAAAAAAAAAATGTGGTGTGGAGAGAGATGGGGAGAGAGGGAGGGAGAGGGAGGGAGAGGGAGAGGGGGAGGGGGAAGGTAAAAAGCGGTTCATCAAGCATCTCTGAAATTCACAACAAGCCCTTCTCCGAGAAACTCCGAAAGAAAATATAGAAAAAAGTACTTCTTATGCCAATCCACGATACCGGTATCTCTGCTCAATTGAAGCGAAGAGAGAGCAAAGTAAAAAAGAAAAGAAAAGAAAAGAAAACCTCCGTCCCACCATAATCATATTATACCAGGGTGGCTGCAGAAAAGATGAGTTGAAAATGAATTTCCGCTGCTCGCCGCTGATTCCAATACCTTGATGCAGCCATCGGGAAGCACAAAACGTTGCATTCCCTTCGGATCATCACACCATCCTAAATCAATGGAGGGAGAGAGGTACTCTCAAGCGCGTCGGCAATCCTCGGGCTTAATTATGATGCTTATCGCAATGGCGGAGCAACCCCAGCCTGAGTTCGCCATGCGAGGCATTGGGAGTTCAGATAGGGTCTTTGAACCATTAATTTGCGGCTAAACACCGCGCAATCGATAGGGGGGAAATAGCTGCAGCACCGCAGAAGCCTTTGCTACCGGTAGCGTTTTCGGACAGCCTGGAAATTACAGATATCTACATTCTGCGCCGTGCGTTGTGCGCTTTGCGGGGTTTCGGCGTGGGCCTGAGAATGTGGTAGAGTTGAGGCGTTTGATAGGGCGGGTGGGGTCTGTTTTATCAAATTTGCTGGCGCAGATGCGGCACTGAGCCATAATCTCAGTATCATACAGGATTGAATACGAGCAGTTGAATCATAGCAGTCGGCCCACCGTGGGCGAGTGGGCTCGAAGTGAGGAAGGGCGGATGATTCTAGGTTCGGTGTTGACGCTTCGTGACACCGTGACACAAGAACTCCACTCGGGCCGTTACCCTCTCGGGGCCGGGTAACACAAATCACGCTCCCAAGGGGTGACTGTTTTCCCTTACCCATGTTAGGGCTTACCCGATTTTCACCCCACCAAGCCTCCCACAACGGCTTTCCGTCTATCAAACCGCGACCAACAACAACCCCAACGACAGCCCACGACAACCGCCACCACTACCTTTTCAGCCGTCAACACACTCGACAAAGTTCAAGATGGGAAAGTCAGTACTCAGAATCCGTCCAGTTTGACCCTTGTCCAGATGTTCACGTGGAACCCTTACTGACCCCTTTCGCCTTTCTCAATTTCTAGAGGAAAACCAAGAGGACTCAACGCCGCCCGCAAGCTTCGCACCCACCGACGCGATAATCGCTGGGCTGATCAATCATTCAAGAAGAGGCTCCTCGGAACCGCCTTTAAGTCCTCTCCCTTCGGTGGCTCTTCCCACGCTAAGGGAATCGTCCTCGAGAAAGTTGGTGTCGAGGCCAAACAGCCAAACTCCGCTATCCGAAAATGTGTGAGGGTTCAGCTTATCAAGAACAGCAAGAAAGTGACCGCCTTCGGTATGTCTTGGCTTTTCTTTCCCTTGATCCAGAGCCTCACACCTGAGTTACCCGATTTTGAGTGGGTGTGGGGGTCAGGAGGGGGATAGGTGAATGGGGACCTAATTGTAAGTAGCTAATGTTTGCTCGTGGGATAGTTCCCAACGATGGTTGCCTGAACTTTGTGGACGAAAATGATGAGGTTCTCCTCGCTGGATTCGGTCGCAAAGGCAAGGCCAAGGGAGATATTCCTGGCGTCCGATTCAAGGTCGTCAAGGTCTCCGGTGTCGGTCTATCTGCGTAAGAGATCCGGTCCCCAAAAAAAGACCAATAATAATAATGAACTGACGGAATTGTGCAGCTTGTGGAAAGAGAAGAAGGAGAAGCCTCGCAGTTGAACAGGTTTTCTTTGGGGTTCGGGTTTCTTTCTTTTCGTCTTTAGCATTATGGGTAGCAGAAATTTGGGAATGATGATATTGGGGGGGGGGGCTTTGATGCATTTGGCGGACAGCCTACGACCCAACGCGGCCATGGTGTAAAAAGTTCCGATATAACGTGATGATAAGTGACCAAAATCCACCTCAGGTCAGAAACAAAAAAGGCTTTCTCGTTATTGTCCCCTCCTTCTTTTCGTGATTGGGTGCTTCAAATTAGGTTACCGCGGGGTTGATAGAATGTAAAACTCTTGATATCAAATCCTATTGTGCATCCAATTAATGTGATACGAGATGGAGCGATGTCCTCTCGAGAATGGTCACAGCCGATTTCTGGTTGGTACATTTATATCGAGATCCGGCACACTCTGAGGACTCATCCAATTCACCTATGCCATAGATATAAAAAAAGTGAAAAAATCTACTCCCCACAGAGGGGGGGAGGGATAATCTAGCCCAATCACCCAGTCTATCGGATATCGTACATTTCATATATACACACTGCCCCCGCCATCACCAAGCACACCACACCTAATCCTCCCCATTGACTCTCTTCCAATTCTCCAAATAAGCCTTCCCATCCAGCGGACTACTCCCCGGAAACTCCCCACGTGTAGGCTCCATCTTTTTAGTAACGAATGGCGTCAACTAACCACGACCCGTCCCCCCCTCAAAAAGTTAGCCCTGGCTGCATCCGCCCGGAAGGAAGGAAGGAAGGAAGGAAGGGAAGAACAAGCCAGAAAACCCTTCAAGTCAGGAACAACATAAGTCCTAACTTTATCCCAGTCGATAACGAACTGCCCGTGCTTGGTGTGTCGGCCCATTGCCCCTGAGCGCGTGCCCTTGTAATAGCCGCCGTTCACTTGCTTCGTGGTTAGCTGGAGGCGACGAATTGCGCGATGGAGGAGGTTTGTTGGTCGCATTCTCCTATTCTTTTTTTTTGTATGGCGAGGTTGAGGCTGAGGCTCAGGTAGGTAATGTAGGCGGGTTGAGATGTGGTGGATTGGGCTGCGGGCTGCGGGACTGGGATATTTGATTTGCTTCGATCCGGGGGTCGTCGCGAAGCGGAATCTATTGTGCGGAAGTTATGATACAGTAGTGTGGTGGTTGGTGGATTGTTAGTCAGTGGGGGTTACCCGGATTTGTGACGGGGTGCGGTGTGTGTGTGTGT